AAAAAAAAAAAAAAAAAAAAAAAAAAAACAATGGTACTGTAAAAATAGTATTAAAATAAATTGTGGAACTCACAATTGGTTGCCTCTTGCAGATTCTTAACCCAAATCCAGATGCTATGTCCAAGATGATTACAGAAAATGCAAGTGAGGAGTTTTTGTACTCGTTGAGTAACTATTGTGCACTTCAGGTAATTAAGAAAAAAGATAATCTAGTCTTATTTGACATAGTTCGTAGTCATCTTATGAAAAGATTAGACCTCAAGTGCAGCATCATATATTTATTTTCTGCCTAGGAATGCGATTAGGGATATTATAAGGGAATATTAGTACTTAGTCAGGAATCTAGTTTGGGAGAGTGGGAAGTGATGAATGGAGGCATTACTTTGTGGCGAGTGAATTAAGGTTTGGTAGAGGTCTCAAAAGGGAGGGTGCAAGTACCTCAAATTCTTGTTTATATTGTAATTTCTCTAAATATTGCAATATTGCTATCTTTGGTGTTTTTATATAATTTTTGTGTTTTGATATCTACCAAAGCTCTAGACAAGAATCTAAAAGGTTATTTGTTTTAATAAAGAAAACTTATTCTCACTTCTACCCTTTTTTTGTGTCCCAGAACTAAAACATAATAGTGGTGCTTTGTTAAGGAAGAATGGTAGAACTTTTTGGATCTTTATGGCTTAAATTCAACACATTTATCCTGTTGTATAGTAACCGTTCTTCATGATTCCAAAATCCTCAAGAATAACTTCCACTCCATGATTTCTGTTTTCATTATCATTTGGAACCCTGCTTTAATTGGAACGGGGCCAATGGGAACCAGATTTGCTCATTTAATCACCATTACTTACTCACATCCTTGCATTTTCTTATAATCTTGTTCCATCAATATTCTAGTTACATTTATCATCCTGTCACGTTGATGTGTTAAGTTTCTTTGGATGATGAACATTGTTAGATAGGGTCTATTGTTTCTCACTTGTACTATCTTGTAATGCAGGGTTTTGTTGAAGATCAGTTTGGATTAGGTCTGATCGCAAGGGCAGTAGAGGAAGGAATAAGTGTCATCAAACCGATGGGGATTATGATCTTCAATATGGGAGGTCGTCCTGGACAAGGTGTTTGCAAGCGCTTATTTGAACGCCGTGGCTTCCGCATTACCAGGCTTTGGCAGACAAAAATTCTTCAGGCAAGTAAATCTTTTTTCAAATGAGATAAATTTATCTATTCATATAGAGTTTATGTTCACACATTGTATTTACAGGCTGCCGACACTGACATCTCTGCCTTGGTTGAAATTGAGAAAAATAGTCCACATCGCTTTGAGTTTTTTATGGGACTTGCAGGGGATCAGCCTATCTGTGCTCGAACAGCATGGGCTTATGGGAAGGCTGGTGGTCGCATCTCTCATGCACTATCAGTTTATAGCTGCCAACTCCGTCAGCCAAATCAGGTTCAGTACACTGACCTGGTTTTTAAAATAGAATATCTGAGGATATGGAACGTATGTTAAATATAAAATCTAACATACATAAAATCTTAATGGACCGACAGGTTAAGACAATATTTGATTTTCTTAAGAGTGGATTCCAAGAAATCAGCAGTTCATTAGATTTATCATTTCAAGATGATTCCGTTGCTGATGAGAAGATTCCATTCCTAGCTTATCTTGCCAGCATATTGAAAGAAAGTGCATCTTTTCCATATGAGCCACCTGCTGGGAGTTTGCGTTTTCGAAACCTTATTGCTGGGTTTATGAAAACATACCACAAAATACCGCTCACTGCTGGAGTAAGATGACCTACTAATTATCCACTTTTGAAGTTCTAACTTATATTATCATTTATTCTTATGAGTGATGGAATTATCATGATTACTTCTTGAATCATCTCCATATATCAATATTATTGAGTATTCTTATGCAATAATAGTAGTAAATAAATAAACAGCCAAATATAGTAGTTTTAAGTTTGAAGACTATTTTGTTTGATATTTTGCATTAATTCTCTTAGAAGTAAAAGTATCTTACAAAATGTGATCAATATGTAATAAAATAAATTGACTTATTAGACTAATGCATGCCTATTAAACAACGGTTAGAGATACCCGTCATTTATGAAAAATCAGATAAAATGTTGAGTTTTATTCTGACTTTATATGTACTTTTTTGGTAAAAATTATAAATTTGGTCCCTATGGTTTGAAGAAAGTTTGAGTTTAGTCCTTATAATTTAAAGGTTAGAAATAATCTCTGTGATCTGATAAAATCTTCATAAATAGTTCACGAGGATTTTATCAAGCTGCAGAGGCTATTTATGACTATTTATGAGGTTTTATCAAACCATAAGGATGAAATCTAATTTTAAATCCTTAGAGACTAAATTTTAACTTTCTCTAATCTCCGTGGACCAAATTTATAATTTAACCTAGTTTTTTGTTCTCTTTTTTCCCTTAACCACACACTTGCATTGTTCAAACATATGATATACTAAAGAGTCTAATGAATTGGATTTCATATTTCTGTGTTCTTCCCGTAACATATAACTGAAATTAGATTAGGGAATCAAAGAGCCGATGTAAAATCTATAAGCCCGTCAAGCCTTTTCAAGTAATTTGGGGCATTTGTCTTCTTTTGGTTATTTAAGGTAAGGAATAGATGGTGAACAATGCTTTCTTAGGCAATGGTCTTTATAATGTGTGATACTTGAAATTACCAAGTATTGACAGCATAGAAGTGTTGAGCGGATGACACCACCCTTCAAACTGCAATTATGTTACTCAACCTTTGTGTTGCACGTCTTCTTTTTTACGTTTTCTCATGTTGCTATTACATCTAGATATATGTGTTCAACTCTATTCTAATCTTCCAATTTGTAGTTCTGCTCATCAAGAGATGCGTACAAACACTATGTATCTCCTTATTTGTGCTTAACACATACAAATACATAGTTTTTCCATCTAGATAACTGCTAAATAATGTTTGTTTGGTTATGAGGGTGCGTACACAAAATTGCATCTCTGACTAGTCTGTTGCCATTTCTTGTAAAGAATGTTGTGGTCTTTCCTTCAAGGTCTGTGGCCATTGAGAATGCTCTTCGCTTGTTCTCCCCTCGACTTGCCATTGTGGATGAGCATCTAACCCGGCACCTACCGAGGCAATGGTTAACTTCGCTCAATATTGAGGTAAGTGCATCTTCATACACAATTATGCACTTCAATCTCTTTTTTCTTAAATATAATCAATTTGTTTTTTAGCTTCAGTTCTCAATATATATTTATTACGACTCAAAGAGCATGAGTTAGCAATACGATATGCCTGGGATAATTTGTATTCATGCTTTGCAGACAGGAATTGATCGTGCAGCAGATGATGTACTTACTGTTATTGAGGCCCCAAGCCAGTCAGATTTAATGATCGAATTGATAAAGATGCTGAAACCTCAAGTGGTGGTGACTGGGATGGCTCATTTTGAAGCTGTTACTAGCTCAGCTTTTGTGCACCTTTTGGATGTTACGAGAGAAATAGGTTCCCGTCTTTTCTTAGATATATCTGACCATTTTGAACTATCCAGTCTTCCAAGTTCCAATGGAGTCCTAAAGTATCTAGCAGCAAAGTCTCTTCCTTCTCATGCAGCTATTGTGTGCGGCCTGGTGAAAAATCAGGTACTTCATTTCTTCAATCAAGTTATCACGAGAGGGGCTTACTTTTTCTATGTAAATGCAATCGAATCGGAGAGCTGCTTGGTATGATATCTTGAGAAAATTAATCATATTCATTGAGTTTACCGAGTTTACAGTGAATAAATAGGTTCTCATGTACTTATCTGCTTAATGAGTAGTCAATACATTTTCCAGGTATACAAGGATTTAGAAGTGGCTTTTGTTATTTCTGAAGAAGAAGCCATTTTTAAGGCCTTGTCCAAGACTGTCGAATTGTTAGAAGGGAACACCGCGCCCATAAATCAATATTATTATGGCTGTCTTTTTCATGAGCTACTTGCTTTTCAGCTCGCAGACCGTCATCTACCTGCACAGGTATATAAACATTTTTTTTTTCTTTTCCTAGTGAATATCTTCATCGTGTGATGCAGTTCTAACAACACAGAAATTATATCAATCTGCTTTACCGAGTAATTTTTAAGTTCAACTAGCTTTTCTACATTACAGCACAAAGTCATCCATGTTCCTGTGCAATATGTTGTGTGGGTTGTGTATTGTGTATTGGGATACGCTTGCATTTAAAATTTGGCAGACATCTCTTAAAAAAAAACGTTTAGTATGACAGCAGGAATTTTGTTAAATGTTTGCTTCCCATGCTGCATGTCACATCCAAGTTGGAAAATGAAAGTCATCAATCCGCCACATATTGGCTATTTGACATAGGAGAACGCATAACTGTTAAACACTGATGTTCTTTTTCTCTTTTCTCTCTTTTACTTCAAGTTAAAAACTTTTATTATTTGCTTTACATTTAATTGATTCATCGTTCATGTCCTTAGAGAGAATGTGACAGAAGTGCAAGTTCAACAGACATAATTGGGTTTTCCAGTTCTGCCATCTCAGTTCTCAATAATGCTGAGTTGTCGATTAACCAGACTGAGAATTCGTTCCTGATTCACATGGATGTTGATCAGAACTTCTTGCCTACACCAATTCCAGTCAAAGCTGCTATCTTTGAAAGCTTTTCAAGACAGAACATGTCAGAGTCAGAAATAGATGTCACCACTAGCATCAAGCAATTTGTCAAAAGCAATTACGGATTCCCTACTGAAAACAACACAGACTTTACATATGCTGACAGCGCATTGACATTGTTTAATAAGATGGTTCTCTGTTGCATCCAAGAAGGTGGAACACTGTGTTTTCCAGTTGGGACTAATGGAAACTATGTTTACAGTGCCAAGTTTTTGAAGGCAAAAATTGTAAATATACCTACCAAATCTGACGATAGATTCAAGCTAACAGAGGACGCACTTAATCAAGTACTCAATAATGTGAAGAACCCATGGGTATACATATCTGGACCAACAATTAACCCAACTGGTCTGCTTTATGACCAGAAAGAAATAGAGAATTTGTTAACTACTTGTGCTAAATTTGGGGCTAGGGTTATCATTGATACTTCATTTTCAGGATTGGAATTTGACTATGAGGGTTGGGGTGGCTGGAATCTGGAAAGAGTTTTATCGAGGCTTTGCCCATCTAGCAGTCCATTTTCTGTATGCCTGCTTGGAGGATTGTCACCAATGATGCTAACGGGTGCTCTCAAATTTGGTTTCCTGGTTTTGAACCAACCGCCTTTGATTGACTTATTCCATAGCTTCTCAGGATTAACTGGACCTCATAGCACAGTGAAATATGCTATAAAGAAGTTGCTAGGACTAAGAGAGCAGAAATCAGGAGACATGTGGGATGCTGTAACCAGACAGATTATGGACCTGAGAACTAGATCCAGGCGTCTGAAAGAGGTAATCGTAAATTTTCAGCTAGTATCGATGTGCCATTCATTTCATCTCAACGTTGAAATCATTTGCATAGTTTATTCTTACACGTTAACTATCACGTCAATTTACTTGAATGGTTTTTTTAAAAAATGTCACTGTATGTATGCCTTTTTAATTTTAATATATTAGTCATTATATCAATTTCCGTTTAAACTTATCTCAGAATTCAGGAGCATTATGCATTTCTGTTATATGGTTTCCATGGACTAATTGTACGCTTTTTTTGCGGGTTTGGTTTGCAATATTAGAATGAATGAATGCGTGAGCTCACTTTGTCTTCTCCTGCAAACTCCTGAGTACTAAAACAAAAAAGAAACTTGTTGCATAATTTTATTCGAGATAATTGATTGAAGCAAACATAATCAAAATAGTTGGTTGAAAGATTTTTGTGCGTGTGTGCTCCTTGGGCTTGTTTGGGTGCTGAATAAAAGATCTCATTGTTGCCTCTCAAGTTTCTAATACTATTTTCTCACCACACTGGTACAGACACTTGAGAGCAATGGATGGGATGTGCTGGAGCCCCATGCTGGTGTCTCCATGGTGGCCAAGCCATCTCTTTATATGAACAAGACAATCAGACTGAAGAACGCGGTTGATTATGAAGCAAAGCTCGACGATTCAAATATCAGAGAAGCCATTCTTAAGGCCACTGGTTTGTGCATTAACAGCAGCTCATGGACAGGAATTCCTGGATACTGTCGGTTCACAATAGCATTGGAGGAAAGTGAATTTCAGAAGGCTCTCGATTGTTTTGCTGAGTTCAAAAGAATTGCCTGCTCCTCCTCGTAAGTGCTCTTTCTATTGCACTTTCATGTTTCCTTTTGCATGTTGTCCGTTCTTTGAGTTGATGATTACGACACTAAAAACGACAGTTATTTGTGCTTAAGTCTTTCCATATATCAATGAAAGGCCCCTTCTTATTTCACTACTAGAACTATCGTAGCATCTTTTATTGTTCTCTAATAATGTATGCCATTTGTTTAAGCGTCTTCAATTTTTTAAAATTTTGAATTTCATCCTTTAATGTACTTTCTCTGGTATGAGTCATTTTGCATGGACAAGTGGTAGTGTAGATATAGATACATTTACTTCACTCGATTTAAATCTGTCGTAGTTGTATCTATCATTTTAATCCGTTAATATCGAGTGAGAAAGAAAATCAATATATAAGAGAGATTGAGTTGATTCCTCCCCAAAAAGAGTACCATGAAAAAATTGTGAAAGAAATACAGATTTGGGTGGGATTAACGCAATTGTTGCATATATGTGCCTTTGTTGTAGTAAAGTTTTGAGTGAGCTTAAAATGGGATCCTTCAATTTTATTTTATGAGAAATAAATTAAGTGTGATGTTCCACATTGGTTGGGGAGGAGAATAAACCACCATTTATAAGGGTGTGGAAACCTCCCCCAGCAGATGCGTTTTAAAGTTTTGAGGGAAAGCCCAAAGAGACAATATTTGCTAATGGTGGATCGGGTCATTACAAATGGTATCAGAGCTAGACATTGGACGATGTATCAGCCTTCTTACTGTTCCCCGAAGGGGTAGACACGAGGTGGTGTGCTAGTAAGGACACTGCCTCAAAGGGGGTGGATTTGGTGGCAGTCTCACATCGATTGGAGGAAGGAAAGAGTGTCAGCGAGGATGCTAGGCCCCGAAGGGGGGTGGATTGTGATGTCCACATTGGTTGGGTAGAAACAAGCCATCATTTAACAAAAAAAAAAAAAAAAAAAATCGAGAAAGGAAGAAAAAGAAAAGAGAGATGCTCCCTCACGCTTTCTTTTTCCTTCTATTTGAAAAGACGGAATAGATAGAGTAGAAGGGAGAGAGGAGAGAGGAATCTCTTCAGCATTTGGTTTCTTTTTTTCTTTTTTTCTTTTTTTTTGTTAAATTATAAATTTTATATCTAAATTCTAAGGTTTATTTCTAATTTGTTAGTAAACTTTCAAAATTGTCTGAATCTTAAACTTTCGTAGGTTTCTAAAAAACTTTTAATTCCTTAAAATTCACTTTCGTAGATTTCTAAAAAAAACTTTGAATTCCTTTTAATTCAATTAATTAGAGTGGCCAATTTTGTTGCAAATTAGGGAAAAAATTCATTTTTTCATTTGTCTGGTTTATTCGGTAACTCACTTGAGATACTGTTTCATGTTTTAAATTTTTTTGGATTCAGTCTTTTGATGTATCATTTTTATATTTGGCTCTAATATTTCTTGATTTTAGGGACTATTTTATGGAAATATTGTTTAAGATGTGTACGAATGAGTTTCATGATAATAGTATCACAATTTCATATAAATAAATAATATTTCTTTTCAGTTCCTACAATTAAGTCAAATTATTAAAATAACTTTTAACCAATTTAATTTTTTATTTATAATGAGTATTGTGAATAATAACCCTAAAATCCAATTTTTAGTTTATTTAAAAATTAATATTAATATTAATAATTATCGTCAAATAAGTGAACTTAATAAAATTATATAAGCTTTTAATAGTAAATAATAGTACAATAATCAAATTGAAAGAATAAACTATGGTGAAAGTGAATTATTTTAAATTGGATTATCTTATACAATTATATACATTATTAATAAAACGATTATTTTTTTTTAATAATATGTTTAAAATGACGTACATGAAAAGAAAAATAGAAAAAAAAATGACAGAAAAAGAAGGGGAGATAAAAAGAAGGGAAGGAAGAAAAATGGAGAGGAGGAAAAGGTGACGAAAGAAATAGAAAATAGAAACAAAAAAGAGAAATGTGAAGTTTTGAAATCTTTGTTAAATGCTTTAATCTTTGTTAAAAAAAACTTTGTTAAATCCATTAAAAAACTTTGTTAGTATCTTTGAAGTGCCCAATGCTTTAATTAATCCATTTCCCAGCAAAGAGCAGTGGCAATCATCCTCAACCTTAACTTATTACCAAGCAGCTCACCTAAAGGGTCCAATGTTTTAGACTGGCTAGACAAAGACTTCACTGGAAAATGTTTACTTTTTGGATGAATCAACCCAGGTTGAGTCGAGGCATCTTAACAGCAGGACGACGTTGGATCGACTTTGGATCTCGTTAAGTTTTTCACCTTTCTTAAGACAAGGTATCTATAATCATTCAACTGCAATCAGAAAGAGCTTAAAGGTATGTGTATACTACGCAAAAATACTCGGTGGGAAAAACATGATTGCAACAAAATTTTGTCACAAAAACCATAACAAAGAGATACCTGGAAAAGGATAAAGAGATGGGCGGATGCATATACATTATACTGACCTATTCTTGCACTTAGAACTGAATCTACGTTTCCATTTCAATAGAGACTTGAACCCTGAATTGGACCATTCTTTTACCTATCAACCGGAAAGCAACTGGCCTGGCGTCGAACAAGGATCTTCAGGAATCAAAGAGACTTGATATTCATCATCCTCCTATCATTGGCAATCTGATGCAAGCCTTTGTATCTTTGAGATACGCATTATCTACCAGTATTTCGCGATGACTTTGCATGTTGCTCGTATGTTTTTTTTATCTGGGACACAATCGAGCTCTACCAGGATTGAGTAGAGATTCTGCCATCACCCATCCCTGCCAAGACGCAAAAAAATAATAATAATAAATAACTATATCACAAAGAAAATATAGTTGTTATGTTTGAAATAACTTATCGATCAGTTGATCATTAGGTTACTCAGGAAAGCAATGACGGCACTCAGTTAAGACCCAAGAAACAAACGAAGTAGGTTTGCTGTAACAAGAGTACATTAGAAGACATTAAGTTATTACTTCTTAAGTGTGATTGAATTAACACAATTGCAGAATCACTTTGTGCAACCAAACAAAATTGTGATTAAAATCGCTTTTAAGATGTAACCAAACACATAAGATTTTAAATCACAATCATTCAAAAAAAAAAAAAAAGTTAATATTATTTTGATAAGTGTTTAAACTAGTACGCATGCATATCAAACTCAACCTAAAATTGAATATTATCTGTAAAACTGCTACTTATCAGATTATCAGGCAAAAATACCGCTAGCAAATTCTTATTCCATATATATACTTTAATAGCAGTGATGCAGCAGAAGCCAAAAAAGAAGACATGCTCATTTTCCTACCTGCTCTGAAGCTTTACTCTTGAAAATCTCATATGAGGTTGAGACCATTTTACATGATGCAGCAATTTGTGCTTCAAGATTGGTCACTGCGGGCACAGAGTTTGAAAAGGCGTCACCTTGTTTTCGAGAAGACTTCTGACCCCCACTTGATGAGCGTATAAAATGTAAAAGCACATGTGCCTGTGGAAAAGTAACTTGCATCACAAGAAGAAAAATATTGGCAGGCATAAATATACAACGAAAATAAATAGTGCATCTTACGTGGAAAGCAGCTTTTAGGATGTCATCCGACTTTGCTTGATCTTTGAGTAATGCATATACCATACCCCTAGTTTGATTGTATGTCACAATGTACTTTTCTCTCTATTACCCACCAAGAAAACAACATCAAAAAGTTTAAATAAAAGAATGAATAACACTGCTCCAAATAATGAGATGGGATATCACATACATCAAACAAGGGCTCTATGGCGAGATATGAACCAGCATCTTGGAATGCATCTTTGAATCTTGGTCCTGCCAAAAATTGAAAATAATTTTACACGCTTCAATCACATGAAAAGAAAGGAAGTACAACATACACACACACAACTTTGATCTAGTATGTGGACATAATTGAATTTTGCTTGCTTGCTTGCATTTAATAAAATTAAATATAAGCACTCACGTAACTTTTTTCTTAATGGCAAAGTGAGAGGAACCAAAGAAATGCATGCATACGTTTGGAGAATGAAATATTTACCAAGTACTACAGGACTATCCTTCAGCCACGGGAAACTTAATATTCTTTCATTCATATTCCCGTTCTGCAATGAGGGAACTCGCCCTGCAAACAAACATAGGGCATAGTTTTATATACAAATCTAAATAAATAAATAAATAAAAATGTGCTTTATTCTTTTAGCTAAACTTTAAGCCATTAGAAAAGGGATTTCAGGATTGAAAACATCTTTCACTCTCTCCTCTTTTTTAAAGTATCAGAGAACACTTAAAGCACCTGTCTTGATGAAAGACTCGACTGCTACATTAAATCTCGCTCTGTTCATTGTGTGCAACACAACAGATCTGACCTGGAAAATACTGCATATGTCAGACTATAATGACTAAAAGAAATTCCATATTCAAGATAAATAAAAGTGGGGGTGAAAAAAGGTAATCCAAATTGCAGACAAACCTCATTATAAGAGCTGAAAATATAACCGCATGAAAGGAGACCAAAAGTAGTAAACAAAGATGGATTTCTTTTTGAAATCAATATGCTTAGTCCAGTTCCTAGCTTCAGAAGACAAATGAAACTTCCATCAGATTCATAATAAACTTATTTAACCATCTCGTATGACATAAATCAACGTAAAGCATACACAATTATGCATAAAACTTTACATCCAGAAGAATAACATGAAGCTCTGCGCATTACAACATTAAGTCGTAGAAAATAATCATAGCAATATCTGAACTTCTTGTTCTTCTTTTTCTTTTTTCTTTTTTTGCAGAAAATCATCAGCACCACCGATTGGCAGACCTTTTTTTTTGGTAAACAAAACAGCCATCATTTTAAATCAAAAAATAAAAAGATCCCAGTATTTTAAAACAATTTCATGGCACATTATTGTATTATATAACAGTGCTAAAGAAATCATAGAATGTCCAATTCTTTCTTCTGACGATTAAGGACACTTTCGGGAATCCATGCAAACCTATGCTGAATGTTCCTTTGTTTTTTCTTTTTTTTTTTTAAGCTCATTGACTTCCCCAGGGGGATGGGTCTCATATTCACTTCTAAAAGGATCAATCTATCCAATTTGATCCTTACAAGCTATCCTCGCAAAATATGCATACTTTACTTCTGCTCTTTCTTTATCACAAGGCTTCCAATCTTAAAACTGTCTTAGGAGAGCCTTGCTTGAAAAGCATAATAATAAAAGACATTGACGTCTTTAATGTAACGTTCTCATCCTTTTAAAAGGTGTTCATCTTCACTGAAATTCCAATTACATGCATATTCAGTTTATCGAGTCCATAAAGGTTTGGGGCAAATTTTTTGAAGACTTCTAAAGTTCAGCTTTGAGGAGGTTGTCATTGGAGGAATGGGAATCAAATCAAAGAAGACAACTACAATAAGATCAAAGAACGGAGGAATTGGAATCTAAAAAGATGTATAGAAATCTCTTCCTTTAAGAAAACATAAGATTGAGAGCAAAAGACCATCCAAAAGAACAAATTAACTTTTTTTTTATTCTTATCAATTAGAACCTATTTTCCCAATTCTTTTTGTGGTTCTTTTTTGTATTAGGCCTTCGCTTTATCTACTGCCTCTGCTTTTAAACTTTTATATGTAATAAAGGCTGGTTCATTATCTAACTAATAAAGATAATCCCTTTTGGTTCGATGCCACCAATTAACATACAAATAATGCACTTTTAAACTCAACAATACAATACCCCAAATTACCATCGCCCTCCAGATTTTAACAGTAAATTGGGTAAAGAAACTTAGACCACTGGTGGAACTGTGCTATAAGTTTGGCTTTTGTGTTCTCTAGGAGATATCAATCATCTGCTCCCTGAAAGCTTTATCTGGATGGTTGTCTATGGAAAAGCTAGAGCCTATGAAGAAATGTCCCAAAAAGGCCTTCTGTAGTCACTTTGGATTGGCAGACAACAAAATAACTAACTATAAACACGGATTTTTTTAACCATTCGGAATTTTTACAGAACCTCAAGTCCCCTTGCTTAACAAAGATTTTTCTCTTTTTGCTTTATGAGGGTGAGGCATAAATATGAAAGGATTTTTCTAAGAAAAAAACCATTTTCTATTGTATCAAGAAATCTACTCTCTAATTAATGTAAACTCAAAGTGCTAATAAACTTTTGGGGAAGCAAGGATCCTTCCTCTGCTCTGTGCATCCGTAACCTCTTTTACATATCATCATGGAGTTTTGTTTCTTATTAAACATATCTTTAAAAAACAAAAGAAAGAAAAAACAGTAATTCCTAACAGATTTGCAACTGTGCATATCATCTTAAGATCATATTAAAATGTGCATAGCAAATCAGTAAGAAAAAAGAATTCACTTTTTGTTTTAGACCTTGCATCTTATATAATTTAAAACTTAGACAATACTAGGCAAATTTGGTCGAACAAAAACTATCTACTTTGACAAGGTCTAAAGAGAAGGCCCAACTATACCAGATCTGCTATATTTCCTACGCATTCTCCTTTAGCAGTGACGTCTCCAATGTTTTCTCCTTTTGCAAAGGCCTTGTAGATTGGAGTGCGGGTTGATGTTGATGTTACAGCAGCAACGTTCTAGAAAGCAAGTAGCAAAATGAGATTTCATAGCAGCTACACTATTGCACCTTCCAAGGAAACAAACAAACCTTCGCAACATTAGCAGCACAAGCCAAAGGAAGAAAAAGGTGTGGTGCAGCTGCAGTTGCCAGCTCTACCCCAGCACCCAACTCCATAAGGAGATCACCTGCAAAACGTAGCTGCAACCCTCATATTGTTCAGAAAACAGATCTTCAACAAAAATTAAAATGCAGTCACTATAATGAGCAAACTTTTTTCTGTGGAGGCTAGTAATTACAATTTACCTGCTTGAGATCATAATCAAATTTTTTCCCTTGTCGAGCAAATAGCATTTTACCAACACGACCCGCACCATCCTGTAATGAAATGCTCAAACTTAATCAGTTCACTTAAGTCTGCACAAGTAAAATGTGTAAAAGGATATGTTGAATAGCAAGACAAGATTATAAGAGCTGCTATTTGCAGCACTTCATGCTTAGTTGCTATATAATAAAAGAAGAAACCAATCAAGTAACCAGAAGGGGTTGGAAAGAAATTGTAACACTCAACGGTAGAAAGATAAGAAGACGAAGAAGATCTTAACCAACCCCATGCAGGATTTCTTTTGCACTTCTTCGAAAACATGTGAAACTTCTCAGTAGTTTCATTAAAAGTTGATCATTAAGTCCTCTTTTACCAATATTTATGTTGAGAAGCAACTCTTTAACATAAATATTCTCCTAAAATGCCATTGCTTCATTGAGAAAATTATCCATTGAGTATACTTGAATCACATAAAAAATGGAACTACGATTTTAGTTTTCCTAAAAAATCGGCAGCAACATACATGCGCCACCCTCAGCTACTCCATGGCATGGATTTTTGTTTTCCTGCTGCAATTGCAAATTGGTCCATGCATAACTATAGCGCTAATTATGCCATACAAACTTGCATACACATATAACAGTTAAGATCAACAATGAATGACAGCACAACCTAACCGAGTAAGGTCAATACCATAGCATAGACACGCTATTTTCTCAACAGAAGTGTGGTTTTCACCAAAATAATAATAATAATAACAATAATCACAGGAATTCACTATGACTAAATTGCCATTGGCCAGCACCAGGGGAAATAGGAAATTTTACTATGACAAATACAGGACATTGCACTTGAGAAAGTTTCAACTTTTTGAGGGAGGGGGATGTATAAAGCATAAGTGCTTATCAATTTAAGCATCAGAAGCATATTTAGTACATAAAGGAGCTAAATGAAAAGAGACAGCCATCTCTAGGGATATGCGTGCTCACTTCTAAGAAATGTCGATTTACTTTTGAGCACGTAGGTTGCAGGAACAAAACTATGTTTCTAATCAAGAAACTACAGTGGAAAACAGCATTCACAAAGACTGTTACCTTGAGAATCCAATTAATAGCAATGGCTCCAGGAGTAGCTTTATTTCTGGCGACCCCAACAGAGCTTAATAGTGACTGTGTTGTAAAAACACCCATCGCTCCACCAAAGAAGTGCTGCAATAAATCAAGCCATCATTACCAACGGATTCTAATATATGAGTAGAAAAACATATTGAATATTCTTCTTCTCTTTCCTTTGTTACAGGCTTACATTACTTTCTGAATCTAGACCCGTACCTTCAAAGCTCTCCACGTCATGTATGGTACATATGAAGGGGTAACACTGTCGGGGAATCCTTCTGGGACTACATATGATCTTATGAAGGACATCATCTCCTGCATTACAAGTTAACCGATCACAACAGAAAATTGAAAGAAAGTTTATTTTCCTCTCGATTGAAAGCAGAGAAACCACTTTCCTGTTAACCGACAAGTACTCTAAATAAATTAACCATTACAAATAGGTTTTGCAATTCTTTCGAATTTTAATGTGAATATGTGTAACAGAATTACAGTACTGAATGAAGTAACAAAATTAACACGTTCTTAAAAGTAAAAGAGCATCAACCAATTTCTTGTTTTCTCAAGAGAATTGCAGACAAACCCGTTACACTAGGACCCAAAGAATCACATATGAGTTCTGGGAAATAATTCCCCGAAGATTAGGTAGCTGTTTTTAATCCAGGTACAATACTTCATGAAATGGGTGGAGTAGCAGACATTTTAAGCACAATTCTCGGTGAAGCATCAAGACAAACACACGACTAGGCACTTAATTGGTAATAGAAGCATAATGTAACTACTAACGTCAATAGGAGCTTGCGGCTTCTGAAAACAAACAGCACGGATCGAGACGTTCTTCGACCTTCCGAATAGCTCATTTTCAGCAACATAATTCCACCTCCGGCCATCGATTTCTTCGGAGCAAATCAACCTCAAGCTGGAATCAATAAACTGGTCCTCCACAATACCAAACTTTCTCGCCTGCGGACCAGCGAGGGAGAGCGTGGGAGGAACAGAATCAGCAGGAGGAGAAGAAGCCAGGCTAGCACTAATCCGCAGAGTTTCCCGAACGAGAGTGCGCGCTTCAGTGGAGGAAGCAACAGATTTCGCAGCAGAATTTTGGGATTGCTTGAGTTTGATCGGAGCCATTGAGACAACAAATTGCGAACCAAACTAAAGCGAAAAAAAAAAAAAAAAAAAGTTCGAACGAATTGACGGACGGATCAGGAAGAACCAATTGGAAGCAACGACGAGAAGGAGAACGAATTGGAAAAGAGATTGGTTGAAGTACCGAACGAGAACGAGAAGTTCGAAGAGGAAGCTTTGGAATTGACGGAGAAAGACATGGAAGAGAAGGAAGAAACGTGCAGGTGGCGTACAAATGGCAACGGAGCTACAGAGAGAACGGTGGTGGGAAAAAGTAGGACAACTTTTTCTCCGTCGTTGTCAATGGAATTTCTATCCTATGCGATTTGTGGTACTTGTTCGTCTCTGTATACAAGTGGGGATGGTGGGGCCACCTTTTAAATAGGAAAAATAAAAATAGTTGGGTTCAATATTAATTATTGTGTTTTAGGTTGGGGCCGGTTAGTATCGGGCTAGCCGAAAATCAAACTTTATCAGAAGCTTCGTCTAATTAAGTTTGAAATATCTAAAAAGACAATGTTGTCACTGATTAAGAATTTCTTTTCCAATGTCAGACGATGAAAGTAAATTTGAGCTCGTGTTTATGTTGACTTTAAAATACTTAAATGGACGATTTTGTCCCTGATCAACAATTTCTTTTCTATCAGATGATGAAAGTAGATTTGAGCTCGTGTTTATGTTGACTTTGAAACACCTAAATTGACGATGTATCAATAATTTATTTTTCAATGTCAGAAGATGAAAGTAGATTTGAGCTCGTGTCTATGTTGACTTTGAAATACGTAAAAGGACGAAATTGTCACCGACCAAAAATTTATCCTCCAACTGTCAGAGACAATAAAACTAGATTTGAGCTCGTGTCTGTGTTGACTTTGAAATACCTAAATGTACAATGTTGTTATTGATGAATAATTTCTCCTCCAACTATCGAAGACGATAAAATTTGAGCTCGTGTTTACGTGAATTTGAAATGGCTAAATGAATGATACTGCCCCTAATCAATAATGTAGCTGATGAAGGTCATACAAATTGTTATGATTCTTCTTTAATAGTATTCTTTCGTCGAGAGTCGTTTAGAAAGTCTTAACTAAACAGCTTTTGGTATCAAACGAGACTTAGGATGATGTTGAGATCATGTCTATACTAACTTTGAAATACCTAAATGAACGATGTTGTCATCGATCAAGAATTTCTCCTCCAACTGTCAGAGACAATGAAAGTAGATTTGAGTTCGTGTCTGTGTTGACTTTGAAATACTTAAAAGGACATATTGTCACCGACCAAAAATTTCTCTTCCAACTGTCGAAAACAAGAAACTAGATTTGACCTCGTGTCAGCATTGTCTTTATGTTGACTTTTTTATAATGTTTTTAACAAATTATTTAGAATATACAAAAGAATTTACAACTTCAAAATTAATGGTCTCGAGCAGTTATATTAATTGGAGTTTACAATTCTTTAAATTATTTTCTCCCCTATTTTCCGCCCTTAAATTTCACCTTTTTTTTCTGTGATTTATGCGTTCATGACACGTGGTGTGGTGGGGACCACGGCAAAATTAAGGGCATATTTGGTAAGTTGTTTTTATTTACTTGTTTTTTGAGAAACATAAATTATTTTAAAAATTGTTTCGTGTTTCTCATTTTTCTCATGTCTATAAATTTTAGAAATTACAAAATCATTTTTTTGCTTAAAAGTTTCAAAATCATAAATACATAATATATTGAATATTAATATAGTTATTATAATTATTTCATCTCAAAATATTCTTTCAAAATCATTAGTCACTTCAGTCGCATCACGACACTCGTCTAGGCTCTCGCGTGTTCTGATGGGCGCCACTTGAGGGTCGCCTCTTCTCTTGTCGCAAAGTGAGAGTCACAACCTACTCTTTTTATAGTCAGGTTGTGATATTCTCCCCACTTAAATTAGTCATCGTCTTCAATGACTTACTTCGAGACACAACCACATTTTGGATTGTGACATTCATCATATAAAGTTTAAGTAAAAACAACTCTGCTTATCAAAATTTAGAAATATAATTAAAAATTATGGGAAAAATTAAATGGATTTTTATATGATTTAATATTGTATTTAGATATAATTACCTGCCCACATCACTGGTAATTATTAGATTATCACGAATGACTTGCTAAACTGAAGATCGTCCTCACATTGTTAATAAAAGGTTTTTTCAACATTTTTTGTTTTCAATCACGTACTTCTTAAAAAATATTTAAAGAGGTCATCCAACCGAAAAATATCATGTACTGTGACAATATGGTTAGTATTCCCATCAATTGATCGCCACATAAGTATTATTTTTAATAATGATGTGGGCCCATTATTTTATGAAAAGAAAAATCCTAATGTAAACATGGGAACTAGGTATAACCGCCCGTGTGGATGTATTATAATAAGATGATGTAAAATTCACATGAATAAGTGCAAGTATACACTATCACAAATAGCAAATAATAAGTAAATTATCGATTGCGCAAAGGGAACCTATCTTTTTTATTAATTTTATCGCTGAAATTAACTGAGTTTTTTGGTAACATTCAAATGGGTGTGGGGTAGATCATCGTTGAAAATAATACGAAGAAGGTTGGGCTAAGAGAGATTAAATAGATAAGTTTTGAGTTTTGTGGTACATTTTGGTTTATTTTAATAGATTCTCTAGCCCACTTCGGAGGTCATGAAGGTGATTATTTCATAATAATTGTAATTTATATTAGCAAGGCTCTAGGAGGAGAATTATTCCTACTCGTTCTATATTACCCTTCAAGTCTCATTGCTATGAAACTAGAGTATTATAGAGGATTTCATTGCTCCATCTCTTCTCCCAAATAAGAGAACAATTATTTACTAGAGTAGCTAATTAAACACACATTTAAATCATTAACAACAAACTCTTTAATAAACTAAAATTATACCGTCAACGTACTTAAACTATATAAAACTCTATCGTCTTCTCTATAAGGTTTAACTCTCCATACAAACTGAATTAAACATAAGAATACGCATCTCAATCATGTAAAATTGATGGAATAAGAAAAGAGAATAAGGAAATAGAGAGTTATCCCGGTTTGTTGTCATTCGTCAATGGAAGTTCCCTTCTCTCGAGCTCTCACGTCCACCTCTTTGCCCTAATCAATCATTGTTGGTCTCCTTTTCCTTAAGCTGTCAATAGTTGTTGGATTAAGGTTTTCTTATTTTCTCTGGTTTTATAGCAGTTCACTGCAGCAAAGACTGCTGCGGTGTAATTCGATTTTTCTCCCTAAGTGTGGTCTCTCCTCTTGGTCTTCTTTTTCCTTTTATATTGAGCATGAGTTCCCTGGCTGAAAAGGAATAAGTTGTCAACGGGATGTTACTCATTGAGTAGTCAATGATCCACTTGTATTTGTTGATGTGGATTTAAAATTTTTACGTCATTCCCCATTTATTGCATAAATGTTTGAAAATTTACCACATAACTCAATTAAATGTAGAATTAAGATCGATTTATGTCAAATCATTTTTTTCCGGTCCAATAAACAATTTCATGCTCACTAAGTATAATAAATGAGGTAATAAATGAGGTAATAAATGAGAAGAGGGTGAATAAAAGTGCAATATTAAATACAAAAAGACTTGATATGACTCTACTTTTAGAGAGTTATCAAGGTACTACAAGAGCACTATAATTTCATTCATAAAACATGAGTTGCTCAAACAATTGAGTTACCCAAAAGCAGTGGTTATATCTGCACATGAGTGTGATCAGGTCGTAAATGTCAACTATTTGGTACGAGAGAATCATAGCATTTTTTTTTGCATATCGGTATGATCAAACCTTGTAGAGGAACCCTTAAATTTTCGAAACATTGAATTCTCACCAATGTTTGCACTACTCAAGCCGACATTCTCACTTTCGCTTCGTCCATCACAACTCGCGTCAGTGCTTACCTCTAAGGCGGAACACTACTATACCGATGCATTTTTACATCCCACAACTTCGACATACCGCTTAGCCCTGTTCATTTTCAGCGCATGAGCGCTCGATCAGTGAGCTGCTACGTACTCTTTAAGGGTGACTGCTTCTAGGCAGACCTCTTGACTGTCTGTGCACTCCTACCTCATTTATCTCCAAACAATTATATAAATGCTTTGGCAGGTGATCTAATCCATTTTTGTAGGACCATCTTTCACATCAAAATCAAAAATCATTTTTAACTGTATCTGTCATATGAACACGAGTCTCGGTATGATATTGTCCACTTTTAGCATAAGCTCTGATTGCTTTGCTCTGAGGCTTCCTCAAATATCTCACACGAATGGAGTGAGTATTCATTGATTGTAAACGCATACACATTCCCTAAATTATTATTAATGTACCAACCTTTTCTTAATAAGTTTACGTCATATTTGGGCAGTGAATTTAAAAAAATCAGAAAAAAAAAAGTAAAAGTAAAAAACGAAAAAGAAAAAAAAAAAGAGATTAAAATAAAGGAAGCAAAGAACTTAAGCCAGTCTCGTTCTCAGATGCTTTTCATCTGATCTGTGTACTCTCACACACTCACCTGACTCGTGAAGTTACGACAGTGAGCTACCGCAACTGCTTCGCCGCGCTGCAACGGGTGCTCTTCCTTGTAGGTCAGTTCTTCCCTTTTGGATTCTTTGCTCCTCCATTCCCCAGTGCCATGGCCGGAATTTTGTTTTTCAACTTTTAATCCCCTCCATTTCGATCTCTGTTGATGAATGAATCGCCATTGCTGCAGTTTCTATTGCTCTGTTGTTGCCTTTGTTGTCTAGGTTTTTTCCTCTTGAATTCCATCGTATTTTCTTACGCGTACGGACGATGACGTTGCGGTCTGGTTTTGTGTTTTAGGGTTTCTTTCTTTACATGCACTGTCAGATATTACTTTCTCGAGGTCGTTAAATGATGCCAATTTCGTTCTAGGGAATCTTTAACTAATTAACAAATACATTTTCTCTTTCTTTGTGATTATGCTGATATCTGTTTGTCATGTTGTGGCTTCTCAGATCATTCGCGTTCTACAAATTAAGGTTGACAGCATTCTCCTGGCCTAAATTAACAGCTCCCCAATGGCGAATTTAGCGATGACGGGTATCCTAGAGAAGGTACTATTTTACCGGATTGCATTAGTAATAATCTATATCTATTACATTTTTACTTCACTGATATTTTCGGCTTGTGGTTGGTTTGACTTGCACGTGTGTTTCATAGATGACAGGCAAAGATAAAGATTACAGATACATGGCAACATCTGATCTATTAAACGAGTTAAACAAAGATACTTTTAAAGCTGATACTGAGCTGGAGACAAAACTGTCAAACATAATCATACAACAGCTTGATGATGCAGCCGGTGATGTTTCTGGGTTGGCTGTGAAATGGTATGTAGGACTCTTACATTTTCCGCTTGCTGACCATTGGCTTCAATGGTCGTTGCTTACCATGCAACGGCAACTCCAATAGACGATTTTTTCTTTGTGATCTTGTAGGCTGTCTGTTTCTTTAAGAGGAACTTGTTCTTAAGACCATATGCATGTATGTGAAAAGAAAAAAATGGAGAGATAGAATTGATCAAGTTAATAGGAGTATTGATGTGGTCTTTCAATTCTCAATCTTTTCTTTTAATCTCTTTCGTCAATTTAAATTTCAGCCTTGCTCCATTAGTGAAGAAGGTTAGTGAAACACGGGTCGTGGAGATGACAAATAAACTTTGTGGAAAATTGCTCAATGGGAAAGATCAGCACCGTGATGTTGCCAGCATAGCCTTGAAGACAGTTGTAGCTGAAGTTTCTGTGCCATCTCTTGCTCAATCTATTCTCATCACTCTTTCACCCCAATTGATAAAGGGGATCACTACTGCTGTGAGTGTCTGAAACATTCATCTAATTCAGTTCTTAATGTTCAAGCTTAGAAGAATTTGAAACTTTAGAGCATTCTTTTGACATCAATTTTTATAGATTTAGTTTCAGTAGTTAGAGTTGGCAAATGCGAATATATGTTGTTAGCCGTCATAGCAACATTTATTAGCTTCTTAGCTCTAAGTCTTTGCCTTTTGAATCTAAGCTCCGTTGTTTTAATGCTTCTAATGCCGTTCTTTTAAATATTTGGTTGGAAAGAAATCAAAGAATTTTGAGGACAAATTCTTTTCTTGCTCAGGCCGTTTTGAATTCATCAAGATTAAAGCTTCTTGCGGTTTTGCATGATATTCTTTTCAAGATATTAGTAACAATTGGGAGGTTTTCTTGTAGAGTTGATTTCTTTGATCCTTGTTTCAATATCATTTTTCTGTACTTATTTTATTTTCTGCTTTTTTTCAGTCTATGTTTTGTAGGCTATTTTTTCTTTTTTCGATTGTTCTCTCTTCTTCATGAATGAAAAGATTTGTTTCCTTTTAAAAAATTTATTTCTTTCTATAGTTTGTGCCGATAGAAACCTCTTTAGCCTCTGTGGAGAGCTTCCCTAGAAGTTGCATTTTATCAATGTTTTTTTTTTTTTGGTTTTCTATAAAAGAAAATTTTTTAATGACACAAGTCATGAGTTTATTTTAGTATTTTTGTTCATCAATGTTTCTTTTCATTATTTAGTGTTATAATAATGTTTCTGATTGACTTCATATGCCAATGCACTTGATTTTGTATATATTTTTGCCTTTTACTTTTGCTTTTGCTTTTTTTTTCTTAAACTTTTTTTTTGTCTTTTCGGTAAGAAACAGATAGTTCATTGATATGATGAAATATAAAAAGGGAGCCCCAAACTAATTGGGGGTTAGGAAAAGGCCTTCCAAAATTTTCAAAAAGTTACTTAATAACTATAAGTGAAAATTATTTACGCCAACCATGAGCATTGACAAAAGTTCTGTCATAAAATCTATCATGAGAAGAAATTTCTTGTTGGAAGTTCTCTTGTTCCTCTCCATCCAAAGTTTCCAAAGGAATATTCTGATCATCTGAACCCGCAAGATCTCAGGCAAATAAACCATGGTAATTCTTTTTGCATAAAAGAACTTGGCGGTTAGGAGGGTTAAGGTTGATTAGACCTGAAAATCACTTTTTATTAACAGGTTAATTAGCTTTTGAAGTTTATATACTGAAGAATGTTCCTAAATTTAACATTTCTTAATTGTTTTACTATGCTAAACAGTGAAAGCTTAAGTTTGGGTCTATAGATGTGCATGTTTTATTATACAGGGAATGAGCACAGAGATAAAATGTGAGTCCCTTGATATTTTATGTGACGTTCTTCACAAATTTGGAAATCTCATGACGAATGATCACGAGCTTCTATTAAGTGCATTATTATCCCAGTTGGGTTCCAATCAAGCCAGTGTTAGAAAGAAGACTGTGTCGTGTATTGGTAAGACTCAGATGATAAATGCATTCGCTATTTCCAAGTTTTTATTTAACTTTTTTGTTGGCTGCTCTTGTCATTTTGATGTAGATTTATTAGTAATTATCTTGTAATTTTCATTTGAATGGTTAATTGATTTATTAGTAACTATTTCCATTCCTCTCCTATATGTAGAGGGTTAATCTTTTGTTGTTCACTTACCTTTTGATTCACATTAAACATTCCTTTGAGGATTCTTGGAGATATTTTCCTTTGATGTTTTCAAATGTGAGAGGGCTTAATGTCTAGGAGGATGACAGCCACCTTTAGATGTGACACACTTCAGTTAAGTTGGGAGTGTAAAGCAAACTTGCACCAAAATCTGCAAACCATTTTCTTACCAAGAACATCAACTAGACGCTTGCTATCAGTTAGAGACATTCAAAGAAATTTGACCAATGTTCAATGTATGGTGGGTACTGTGGTCAAACACTAAATCAACTGGCTTTGAATCTTTCTTATCAGCATGGTCAAAAAAGCAAACAGTAGACAACGACCATAGTTTTCATAAAAAATGACAAGAATGACCTGTGTGACCAACAAGAATGCTCCAAGAACAGAGAGCACACATTCGAGAGATGGTTAGGAAGCCTCTTCATCATGATAAACTCCTAGAATGCATATGGAAGGCTTTTGGTTCAAGATTCCAATTTTTCCAGCAAAGAAGAGGAGTTTTTTCATGGATTTTTTTGGAATACTTTGATGATGATTATGATCGGACAATGTTGAAGAATGTATTCATGGATTTGATGAATATTTCCGTGAGGAATATGAAATCTTGTTTCGCTTGATTCTTTTTTTGCTGAAAATGAAGAATCGACCAAAAAGGAGCTATAGTATTATAAAAAAAATGGACTTTGCCCCTTGTTTTTTAAATTTCATTTTTAGTGAGGTTTGTAAAAGCTCCTATGAAGTTTTTGTTTAAACAACCACATTCCTATTCCCTTGTTGGCATTTTTGGTGTTGTTAACTTATAATTTGTTTGTAATTAGCTGCTAGAAATCTATCTTTCGTTGTTAACTTATGATTTCTATATCTTTCGTTGGAATATAGAAAGACTTTTCAGAAATTACTTGTGGAAAGATAGTGCACACCTTGTCGTTGGAATATTATAAACCTCCCAACAGAAAAGGGAGGTCTCGGTCTTCTCTTGATAAGGAAGAAGAACACAGCTCTCCTCGTCAAATGGATATGGAGATATCATCATGAAGAAAAGGCCTTATGGCGAAATCTTATAAAGGCTAAATATACTCCTACATCAAACAAAGATCAACTCCCTCCATCTTCTACAAAAGGGCCTTGGAAGTACATAAAGAAACATCAAAATCTCATCACCCACCGAACTCGTCATAAGGTGGGGAATGGGGGAAGCACATCATTTTGGACCAACCCATGGATTGAAAACACCACGCTAGCTTTGAAGTATCCACTTTTGTACAAGCTTTCTCACAACAAAAAATCCACGATTAAAGAAACATGGAATGTTGTCAACAAATTTTGGGACATGAAGCTTGGTAGGAATCTAAAGGATAATGAAGCAACAGAGTGGGCCGAATTAAGCCTTGACTTTGCCCCTGTGGTATTGTCAAACAAAGAAGACTCACTAACTTGGCTCCCCAGCGCTGACGGGGTCTTTTCTACAAAATCCTTGATGATGGACATGGGGGAAAAAGTAGAAGCAATAAATCCCACGCTAGAAAAGACAATATGGAAAGGACATCAACCTAAAAAGGTGAAGTTCTTCCTTTGGGAAATAGCGCATAAAGCCATTAGCCCAAGTGAAAATCTTCAAAAAAGAATGCCTTACATCACTCTCTCTCCAAATTGGTGTCCACTATGCAAGAAAGCAAACGAATCACAAAGTCACTTGTTTATGCAATGCACATACACTCAAAATTTATGGACAATGATTCTTAATATATTCGGATGACATCTCACATTTCCTAGGGAGGTAAAGGATTTTTTGGATATGGCCTTAACGTACCACCCTTTCAAGAACGCAAAAGCCCTATTATGGAAAAACCTCATCATGGCTTTCTTTTGGAATCTGTGGAAAGAAAGAAATCAGAGAATATTTGCAGAAACGACACAGACCTACACAACTTTTCGACAATGTTGTTTACCAAGCTATATCTTGGTGTAAACTGTCTAATATTTTTACTTCCTATAGTTATACCTCCCTCATGGAAAATTGTGAAGGTCTTTTGTAAACATCATCGATTATACATCCCACTTGTAAATTTCACTCATCAATGAAATTGTCTCTTATATATATAAAAAAAAAAATCTATCTTTCATTAGTTGAAGCATTACTTGCCAATTTCGAGATTTCAAAGACTTGACATACAATCTCTCTCTCCGACTCTTCCATAAGAGTCAGAGAGAGAAACAATCTTAGGGTGAGTGTGGAGTGTAAGCTTTTATTGTTCAAGGAGTGAAGCTTTGGGTCAAAGGTGGAGATTGAGGAAGTTAGCACGCGCAAATCTTCGAGTGTTCAAGTGAATCTAGAAGTTATAGTTGGGTAAGAAATTTCTTTGGAGATGTGGTTCGGAGATTGGGAGGGGAGGCTTTCTTTAGGAAAAGAGGCTATTTGGAAGCGTTGGTTTGGGTGCAATGTGTGTTTAGCGCAAAGGTGCTTGGCGTATGTTGGCTTGAGAGCCGTTTAGAGGAAGAAGAGCTTCCATTTTTGTTCAGAAAGGTAAAGATAGGGGAGGGTGACATTCATTTAAAGTTGCTTTAGAGTCAGCGCTATTTCTTATTAATATCTCTATATGCACTTCTTCTAAAGAGCAAGGTCCAAAAATTCCTCCCTAGTTAGCATCTTCATTTGCGCATACAATGAAATGGGGCTTGAATAGTTTAGAGGTTGATTGGAGATTTGAAGGAGGAATTTGATCTCCCTTCTGTAGTCTCACAAGGTGTTGTGGTGATGGAGAAGGCATCTTGTTCTTGGGTGGAAGTTGGGAGGGATTTGTGGAAAGTGTTTGGAGAGAGTGAAGATGAGGTGTTTTTGTGGCAACTTGGCAATGGTTGTGTAAGAATTATTGGTGAGAAGAGTGACTAGTAAACTTTAGGAGAGGCTTATCAACATTTGTACCATTAGTTTGAGACTATGGGATTCAAGTTTGGTGGGGGAAGGCAAAAGATTGGAGTTTGAGAAAGGATGGGTTAGGATCATAGATGTTCCCTCTTACTCGCGAACTCTTGAACTTGTTCGTAACTTGGCGACACTTTATGGAGGGGTTGGCAAAGGGGATGACATGACATGATTTGGTCCATAGAGAATTGGGAGGTTTATATTTGTTTCGAGTCTAGGGGGAATGGGATGGGTATATTCCACGGGGCTGTTACATTAAGTGGGAAGACATGGAGTTCTCGATTAGATTTTTGCTGGTTGAAGAAATTGGAGTTGATGGCGATGAAGAGTTCTAGGGTCAGGAGGGAGAGAAGGAGACCTTTTTTGGCAACGCCAGATGGGAAGGAAGCTAGCGACATTGTTATTTTTTAGCCATTAATTTGACTGGGAAAGCTTTCAAATTCTCTTCATAAAGCTGAGAACATTTTACCATTTTTGTTAAAGTAGAAAAAGCGAAGGAACTTTTTGGGGGGACCGTAAGACATTCTTCATTGGCACATGGAAATTTCAAGGGACCCAAAGATCCTCCTTGCATATACTTCGGGTGATCATCCTTTCTAAAAAGGAAAATAAGCTTTTATGGAAACATTTTGTGAGAGTATTCTACTGAACTATGTGGAACTTGATTTTTGTGATGGCAATGATGGTAATCAATCAATCTAAGTATTTGAAATTGTATTCCAACTTGAACATAACTAGTTTAGACATTACAAGAGAGCTGAGGTTTCAATCCCTACCCAACATGTTAAACTAAAAATAAGTATTTGGTACTGTATAGTATAAATCACATGTAGTGTAACAAAGACATGAAAATGGGATCACCTATTGTACTTGTTATGAAACTTATGAGCTGCTAGTAGAGGTTTGTTGAATTAATAATTTTATTGCTTGCAGCCTCTCTTGCTTCGAGCTTATCAGACGATTTGTTGGCGAAGGCAACAACTGAGGTTGTTAGAAGCTTGAGAATTAAAAGTACCAAAGCAGAAATTACACGCACAAATATCCAAATGATTGGTGCTTTGAGGTAAGTTTTATGACACGAAGCTTTTCTATGTAAGATGTGTATTGCATTCTTCATGCCATGTCCTGTATGTAATGGAAATTGAGTATATTTTGATACCTCTAATATTAGGTTATTCAGAGAAATGGAAAATATGTTTTTGTGCTGTGATATCTATAGCTCATGTCATAGGCCAAATATGATACCAGCTGAATTGATGTAATGTATCTTATTAAGAACTAGGGAAAAAAGAGAGAGAAAGTAGTGAATGTAATATGAGAGTTGATTGTTATATGTTCAAGTAATTTTGCAGATTGTTTGGTGAGATGGAAGGCCAACTAACGGTGGATACTGGTTTTCCCACTTACTGAAGTTCAATTCAATTGTTCAAACCAAAACTTAAATATTAAATGTGATGAAATGAAAATTTTCTATAGGTTATTAGTTGAGTAATTAATGTCCCATGTTATAATAAGCACTCAAAGTTTTAATATAGTAATTGCTATAGTTCATTAGTTGCGCAATTAGTTCAATTCCTTTGAAAGTCATGTACCAAGTCACTGGTAAGTACATTTTATTTTATTTTGTTTTTCAAGTGATAGTGTTCCCCTTTTTAAGGATCTCAATTGTGAGACAAACAGAATTAGGCCTTTTTGGTAATATGCTAATGAATCAAAATTTCTTGGCATCATAGCCGTGCAGTTGGATATCGTTTTGGACCTCATCTTGGGGACACTGTTCCCGTGCTTATCAATTATTGCACAAGTGCTTCTGAAAGTGATGAAGAGCTTCGTGAGTACAGTTTACAGGTACTTAATCTTCTCACTTATTTTTGTTAAAAACTTACACTCACCATCAATTTCAGTTTGTATAATTAAACTTTGATGCCTCTTTTATATTACTAAAGTGGTCTTGCGATTGCAGGCTCTTGAAAGTTTTCTTCTAAGGTGCCCCAGGGATATTTCGTCCTATTGTGATAACGTTCTTTATCTTACCTTGGAGTATTTAAGTTATGACCCAAATTTTACTGATAATATGGAAGAAGATACTGATGATGAGATTCATGAAGAAGAGGAAGAAGAGTAATATATATATTCTTTTTGTTTTGTTTAATTCTTTCCTCTTTCCTCTTTCCTCTTTCTCTTTGATTTCTTATAAAAAAAAAGTATATTCTTTTTGGTTTTATTTTATATTTTGTAATTGTTTTAATAAACATATTGTCCCTTTGTGGTGGAGTTACAAATTTGATGTATTACTGATGCTATCTTGCAGTGAAAGTGCCAATGAATATACAGATGATGAAGATCTCAGCTGGAAAGTCCGACGAGCAGCTGCTAAATGCTTATCAGCATTAATTGTATCACGACCAGAGATGCTTTCAAGACTATATGAGGAGGTGCTTTCTTTTTAACTTTTTTTTTTGAAGGCCAAGTTCTCTGACCTCATCTTATTTCATTTGATATTTTTTCAGTTGATCTTCAATTGACCTATAGGCTATAACCATGATGTTTGTTTCTGAACTTTGAACTAACTTTCGTTATCTTGATCTAATTCTAATGTTTCAAGAAAGTTGATTCTTTTTCTAATTTTTAAGTTATATATTTTTTTTTTTATTGTCTGCTTATGTTTCAAGTCATTCTCATATTGGCAGGCTTGTCCAAAATTGATCGATAGATTTAAAGAGAGGGAAGAAAATGTCAAGGTAGTAGGCATGTTATAATTCAGATTTAAATACTCACTTGCACGTGTATGGATGGTCATGTATTATTTTATTTTTTCTATGAAAGGTTTTTCTTAAAAAAAAAAAAAAAAAAAAAAACACTCACTTGCACCCGTTATGGATGTTTATTGTGTATGCAGATGGATGTATTTAGTACTTTTATTGAACTGTTGCGCCAAACTGGAAATGTAACAAAAGGGCAGGTTGACATGAATGAATTAAGGCAAGTTCATTTTTTCTTTAAATGTTTTTGGTTCATTTGCACCTTGGCTTGGCTGTGGTTTTTTTTTTTTTTTTTTTTTTTTTTTTTTTTTTTTTTTTTTTTTTTTTTGGTGNCTTGTCTGTAGGGCTTAATAATTGGTGTGACACCATATTTTCATGGAGCAAATGAAAGAATATCAAGAAATGAGCAAAAACAAAGAAAAAGACTCACAGCAAAAGAACTAAAAGAAGAAACAAAGGGCAAAAGCCAGACTTGTGTACTAAAAAGGCTCTAATTGTTGAGGAAAATAGACAAAGGATAAGTACAAACTGGTCAAGGACACCCAAAGGAAGGCATAAAGGCCTAGCTGAGATGAAGGAAAGATGTAATATTGTTCGTATTTTTAAGGAAGAAGTCAATGATCATGATCTTTGTTGCCTTTTTTTGCCTTAAGTAGAGTGAAGTTACAAAATCTTTTCTACGAGGATATTGTACTGCTATTGGTCAATTCTTCATGGGATTTTAGTCATAGTTTGGAATGAGTTTAAAGTGTCTTTCAACGAAATCTGAGAGCATAGAAATTATTTTAGAAACGAATGATTTCATTCCTTACTTTGATGACAATAGTATTTCTCTTTGCTCTTGTAATTTTTGGTGTTTTGTTGTTTAATTAACTTAATCCTTTTTCCTCCTCCATTAGGAGATTGTATACTTGAACATTGTTTTTCCTTTTCATCTATTAAAGTTTGTTTTCATTAAAAAAAAAAAAAAATCAGATATAAAGGTGCCAGGTTTAGTAGGGTTTTGGAATTCATGTTCTAGGGGTCGTTTATTTGGTAGGAATCCAAGATTTCTATGTGATGTGCATCTTGATTACTCTGTTTGTTCAGTATGAATATTGGATTTCTGGCCATATAGATGCCGAGCATCTTAGGATGCCCATGTGGAAGGCATCTCAAGAGCTTATAGTGCCCTCCTGAATCATGAGTTTTTGAGATTCTTATGTTGCTTTTTTGCACTTCGTTTTCTTTCTTTG